AACAAAATTCCTCCAAGATCTGCAAGGTCAGAAGATGCCCTTCAATCACACCAAACATATCTCTTCTGCCCTCCGTGGTCCCAAAGAAGGCAAACCCACCAGGAACATAAAAGCTAAATGTGCTACTTTTATTGGCAACCAGATGAGGCCATCACCTTGGACCCCCATCCCCAGTGGGACAGACCAATGAATTCTCTCCCTGGCTGCTTGCAACCCACTGTCCTGGCTACTTCTTCCCAATGGGAGCCCCTCCAACATCAAAGGCCTTGGCTCCAGCCTTGCTGGCTTTTCCTTTCCCCCACCCACTGCTGGGTGCCTGCCACTCACTCTGTGTCTTGACTCTGAAGCCAGCCACCCCAGAACATGGATTTTAGTGCCTGGCAGCACCAAGTCTTTGGTTTAGTGTTGATGCACATGACTTGTACAACATCAGTAGAGTGTGTGAGTGGACAGGAGGAGGATGAAAGGGAAGGTGGAGGAGGGGGAATGTAAAATACAGCTGGAGGATAAGCAAGAGGAAAATCGTGTGGAAACAGGGGCCACTGAAAGTGTTTTGGGGTGGGGCCAGTGCAAAGAAGCACACACAAACCTGAAGGCAGGAAACCCTGTGAACTAGTGACAGCTGGGGAATAAGGGCAGGGGTTAGACGAGACTCAGGCGCCAGGGAGCAGATATCTCAGTTTAGCAAACATCTCAAGAAGCCAAAGGCCTGGAGGGGACAGCAGCCAGTGGAGGTATGTGACAGAACCTGACCAGAGGCCAAATTCCAGCTGTGAATCTGGACAATCTCCTTGGTGCTATCTTCAGAGGGTGAAGCCGGGGGAGGGGACAGGAATCAGGCCCTGGAGCTGTGCCCCCCCTCCTACATACTCAGCCCCCGTGGGGTGATCCAGGGACCCCAGCCTCGGCAGAGTACAGACCCGCTGTGCCCACCAGAAGGCTCTGCCAGGAGGGGAGCCAACTTGTGATGGGAGTGGGAGTGGGAGTGGGAGTGGGTAGGACTCTAGAAAACATGTCACTACATCTTGGCTCTTCTTAGATTCTAGACTGGGTGACTTGGCCTTTACCAGCCTCATCTCCACCACCTAACACCAGGCAAAACCAACCCCTTCCTGACTCAGACAGACACCCCCCTCAGGTTCAGTACAGCCAGCTGGGTAGTAGGACAGTAGCTACCCAGCTGGTTTCTGGGATTGGTGGCATTCGGGTGTGATGCCCGTGGGCGAAGGGAGGGAGCGAGTGGAGCTAGCCCAGGACAGGAGAGCACTCCCTCACAGTCCCAGGCCCTTGACCGGATGCCCGGGAGCGTCAGCCCAGACCAGGTGTCTGCACCTGGTTTCCTTGCCTGCTAAGTCATGCACTGCCTTCTCAAGGCCACTGCCAAACGCAAGGCTGGTGATGTCTGCTCAGACTTGCTTCCCCTTCTCACAGTCTTTCCTTTGACTTGAAGTCCGTCCTTAAGATGCAAGATCCTCACTCTGACCATGGCTGCTTGCAACCCACTAGCCTGGCTGCTTCTTCCCAATGGGAGCCTCCATACCAGCTTTCCTTCATTTTCTCTGTCAGAACCTCTCTCCCCCGGCTCTCCTTGAAGGCACCGGATGCATCCTCAAGTCTCTGAAATCCTGTCCTTCAAGAGAACTCCCTGCCCCATGAACAGAAGATGGCTCTGTGGGGACAGACCTCCGCTTCCCAGGGTCTCTCTAATGGCCAAAGACCTATCTTGCCTCAGGGTAAGGCTGGCCCTGCTTATGGAGCCCAGAGCCATCCTCACTGGGGGTTTCTGAGCCAGGCAGGCATCCACAAGAGCTAATCCTGAGTCGGGGGGTGGGGGTAGGGGGGCGTGGTATAAAAGCCTTACGTGAGTTTTCATATTGGTTGTACAAGGCTTTCGGAGATGAGAAGTACAGTATAGTCATCAGAGTGGTGGGCTTTAATGCAACTTAAAATCCACCTCTGCTATCCACTAGCCCTCTGATGACTCAGGGTCCTGCTGTTAACCTTTTTCAGAAAGAGCTTTCAGCTTAGGGGCAGGTTTGGGACACCTTTCCAACCTGCTAACCAGATGAGGACTATTCTTTTCTGTCCCAATTTTGATATTTCTCCAAAGAGAAATCTCTAGTCTGACGGATTTAATGTGATCAGATATTTGAATCATTTAAGTCTCTCAAGACCTGTCATTGAGAACTCTGTAAGGATGGACATCATTCCGCTGGAAATGTGATCAGAAACGCCTTGTTGCGCCAAATAAGGTTCCCTTTTCAGCGCCTTCCTTCAGATGTTCTCATTCTCTCCTCAGACTGGCTTGAAACCAACTGAATAAACATCCTCTCCCCTGCCTCCAGGTGGCAAGGATAGCTCTGGAGGTCTGTGGAGGGTGAGTGCACAGAAGACGTTTCCAAGGCAGTGATGACATGGGGCTTCGGGAAGGCTGACACTTGAAGACTGGTGGGCGCTCGCCATTCTACCCAGGGGTGGTAGGGCCTCTGAGCCAACTGGAGCCCCTCAGCAAAGGAAGCACACAGAGTATTGCCCTCTGCTCCAGGTGGGGGTTCTCTGGGGGGCCCAGGAAGGAGAGCATAGGTCCCTTAGCTCCAGGGGGAGATGAAGTCCCACCTGGCCCCAGCTGGTTTCAACCCCTGACCCAGGGAAGTACTCCTACTATGGGTACCTGAGGGCCCCCTCACACCTGTGCCCACAGGAGCACCTGCAGTCCTGGCCAGGGACAGCGGTATGGGGACCCCTGTCTGTCTGGGCCAGGTGGGATCGGTCACGCGCTTGGCCTCCTGGTTCCTTCCTTACTCGTCTCCCATCCCTCAGGCCTGCAGAAAGCTCACACCTGCCCCACACCTTTCCCTCACTCTGGGAGGCAGGGACTGCTCCAGGGTCACTCCTTCCCTGTCTGCACTTTCACTTGGCTCAGAGCTCAGACCTGAGGGTGGAAGCCCCAGTGAAGAACCCCAGTTCTGTTAGGGCTTTTTGGGGACCAGCGCTTCTCAGCCTCCTGAAATCTCAGGGCATTCTCCTCCGCTGGGTTTGCGCACTGTTCCCGTCTGTTCTATGTCAGTGAGAGACTCTTCTCCGTGAATCCACACCTAAAACTTACTTCCTGGTGCTTTTTATCATTAAAGACCTCCCTAACTGCTTGCTTCCGTGTGGCCTCTTAGCAAAAATGAGGCCTCGCAGCAAGACCTGCTGTCTGCCTCTGCCGTCCCAGGCTCTCTCCCCTTGTTGATGGTTCCTGGGGGCTTGCCCTGTCCTGTCTACCCTCCATGCCCCAGGAAGGGGCTGCTCCTCCAGCCCTGCCCCAGCCCTCCGAAAGCTTAGCTTTAAATCGTTTTGTTGACCTGAAGTTCAAATTGAGGTTTAACTCATTTTGTAGACCTGCGCTGGCTGATCAGTCCTTGATCTTGTACTGGGTTCCTGTGTGTCAGGCCTGGATTCTTTACTTAGCTCTACTTCCCAATTTTATTTGGGTTGATTAACTTAGATTAAACCTAAAATAGCATGTCGCCCTCAGATCAAGACTCTAGTTCCTCCTCCTCTGCCTGGCCCCCGGTTCCTACTTCCCCTCATTTGTCAGGGTCAAGGCCACCTGCACAGACCCTAGGCAGGGGAGGCAGCCTTCGGCAAGCTGGCACGCACAGCATTGGCCTGGCACAGCAGGCCCCAGAGCTATGGGGGAGATGGGCAGGGGTGGGGATGATGTTGACAGGGAAAGGAGGTGAACCTAAATCTAGACTGTTCCCAGCTGCGTGCTAGCCGGTGAAAAATCATGAAACCAAAGGAGAAGGCAAATGAAGAATGGCGACAGGACTGAGTGTCAAGTGACCGTCAACCTGCCATGCTCTGGACCCTGGCGTCTGGCTAAGGCCTGGACCAGGCCCTTTAGCTGAGAGTTACCCCTCTGCACTAAGGTAACATTTCTGAGAAGCACAGCAGTATCAATAATCACTCCTCAGAAAACCTTCTGGACTATAATGGAACCCTCTTTGAAGTTTCACAGAGCACAGGAGGCTCATCTGTGTAGTTGGTAGTGAGGAAGGAGGCGTCATCTGACAATGTGGGGTGACAGGACTGATTGGGGCTTCTGCCCAGGAAATTCCTATATTACACATCTTTCCTCACTCCCAGTATGCAGGTCAGGTGGCTACCCATATTTTTAGCCTCATCATGCTAAAAGCCAACAGAATTAAGATAATACCTCTCCCACACACAAGCATACGTGTGCACACGCGTTCTTACTAACTGTAAGGAGAGCAGCGCCAACCCTGTCCCCTTCCAGCAGAAGGTCACTGCCAGGACCTGGTCTTGGCTCTGCTTCAAGCCCAGATTCACTAGTTCTAACTTCTGAGCTCAAACACCCTTCACTGACCCCCCCACCCCCCCCCGCCCCCCGCAACCACCACTGGCATCACCCTAACAGGCCTAAGAGCCTGGACAGAAGTGTGTGCTGAGGCTGGAGTGAAGTTGGAAGGGAGACGGGACAGAGGGGACAGGTGATCTCTGATGTGGCCTCAGGAAATGGCCTCGTACAGATCTGGCCCTTCAGGGGACAGTCCCCAAATGTCAGTCACTGAGTCACAACTTCATGCTCTGTGCTAGTTCCACATAATGACTGTGACTATTATTTAGTTAATGTTTTTCTTTAAATGGACTCACTTAAAAAACAAACCTGTTTATTTATAAAGAAACCTTCTATCGCCACCATACATGGAGAGCTAGTACCATGTGCAACTTCTGATCAAAATAAGTAAGTAAATCTCCATTAAAGTAAGAAATGTTCTTCTGTGTCCCATGGCAATCCTCATCTTGATGACGGCTGCAGGTGGCACATTTTCTACAGTAAACTCTTAGGGCAGCAGAGACTTTCTCTCAGGGAGCGTCTTGGCTCCCTCGTGCCTTGTCATTTTGGTTGTGAGATGTGCCCAGACCATCTTCCCTCCGTATGGTACCCAGGCCCGGCCCTCGGGGTGGGAGGAGCTCTGGGCCCTACTTACAATTCGAGGTTTGAAGGGTGGCTTGATCTTCTTCTGCTCCAGGAGCACCCAGTCGATCTCCTTGAAGAACGGGTGCTGCTTGATGGCGTCCTCGCCATTCTGTGCTGCCACACAGCCCAGGCGCTTGTGGGGGTTCTTGGTCATGAACTGCAGGGATGAGGACATAGAATTAGTGACAAAAGCCTGACAGGCCCTGGCTGTGAGGGAAAGACAGCAATCAGCCGAGGCAACATCTTCAGCATCACCTCCCTAGCCTGTTTTCTGCACTTTCAGGGCCTTCGCCCTTCAGGGTAGTTGTGAACTTGCCCTTCAGGGTACTTGTGAACTCATATAGAACTTACTATTTGCCAACTACCATTCCAAACAGTGTGTGTGTGTGTGTGTGTGTGTGTGTATAAATTCATTTCAGCCAAATGCAACCCTCTGAGCTACTATTACTATCCTTATTCTATAAGTGAGGTAGTAGAGGCACAGAGAGGTTAATTAACTTGGCCAAGGTCAAACAGCCAGCAAGGTACCAAGTTGGGATTAGAAGCTCAGGCTCTTACTAACTCCCTGATTTCCCTCAGATTCTCAAGTCTTCTCCTCGGGGAGACAGAGGTCTGATAAACCCATTTACACTGAGAGGTCAACAGCCCTTTTTGAAGTGCGAAAAGAGGATCAGATGTTCACATTAAGGTACATTATCAAAGGCACACCCTGGCCCTTTCCTTTTTCTGGACCTGGACCCTCCCATTTTTAAAAGATTTGAATTTGAATCTCTAGCACAAAACATGCATGTGGATCAAAAGACAAAAACCCCCCACACAAAACAAACAAACAAACAAAAAAAAAGGCGTATTGCTTCTCAATGCTTGTCCATATAAACCACATTGATGGGTTTTACATTTTTCGGCTGGTGTCTTAGCCTCCCCTCCCCGCCCCCAACACACACACCCAGGAGAATGTATTCCTATTAAATGAGTCAGTCCTGATGACAAATATTAATTTAATTGAGCAGATAAATTAATATCTGCTGGCCTTCCCACGAGTAACAATACTTGCTCTTGGCCTCTACCCATGAGTAACAATATAACCTTGAAAAAACAATTAGTGTTAATAAGTGGAAAAATTTCTGACAGCCACCCATAATAAAGGCAGGGATATGTGTGTGTGCATGTGGAGAGACAATGACAATTCATAGGGTGAAGGCTGAGTCTGTATTTACGAGGACAAACTATGAATCCAAGGAATAAATCTACAATAGTAGAATTTCAGGCTTCATCAGCAAGAAAGACTGGGAGAGCCTCCTACTTTCTCTTGCCTGGTGCCCCTGAAACCAAAGCACATGGGCACAGACCAACTGCTACTGGCGGGGCCAGAGCCATGGATAAGAAAGTAAAAGGGTGGTGGGCAGATGTGAGTTAGGAATGGTACCAACACACTTCATCTTTCTAACCAGTCAGCAGAGGTCACACCTGGCACCTCTGATGGCTTCCTATCACCTGCAGATAAAGCCCACACCCCTCACAGAAACTCCTTGCTTTGAACTCAGTCTATCTTACTAGCCTTTTGCATCCTTTTCCCCCTGGTTGGAGGCCCTTCTTTATGCCTATGCTCTTCCTCTAAGAGCCAGTCAATATGCTGCCTCCTCTGTGAAGCCTTCCCAGATTCCCCCTCTGTGGAGACCTGGGACCTCATATTTCTTGTTTACTTAAATTATACTTTGTGTCAACATCTCCTTCCCTTGGTAAGCTCTATGACATAGAGATCAGTCCTATGCTCCCCGTGCCTGGCCCCTCTGGTGCACTCACTACACTGAAATGACTGAACATGTGCTGCAAGCCGAGCCTGGGCACAATGGTGAGGGAGGGAAGCAGCAGGACTGGCACGTACTGCTGCACAGGCTGCGCTCTGTGTAACTCTATGATGCAATGGCCTCACTGGGTTCTGCGCCACCTTCACACAGGCAACGGCCCTCAGACCCAACTCAGTGGCCAGAGTCATGGAAAACCTGGCCTGGCCCGAGACTCAAGCGATAATGTGCGGAAGTGAAGCATTCCAAGGCCAAGGGAGGGGAAGACGGCTCCTCACTTCCTCTGAGCTTCCTGTCCTCCCATTCCGGGAGGGGTCGGATCGAGGATCGAGGCTACGGAGAAGCCGCCCCTGAGCCAGAGGCTCTTCTCCTGAGGGCGGTGCCTTCACCCTCACCAACTGGCAGCACAGGCGCGATCTCGAGCTTCTGAATGTCTGTAGGTCAAAGTTTCCAACTGCTGTGCTAATGACATTTCGGACCGGATACTTCTTTGTCCCAGGGGCCCTCCTGTGTATTGTAGGATGTTAGCTGCATTCCTGGCCTGGACACACCAGTGCCAGTAGCATCCCCTGCTCCAAGCTGTGACAACTAAAAATATCTCCAGACACCGACGCTGCTCTGGGTCATCCAAATGAAAGGGTCAGCGGGGGTGCTGGCCGGGGGGCAGAGGCAGGTGTGCTGGGCTGGTGTTCAGAGCCTGGGGTGAGAGACCAGCTCTGCAGGGATGGTGTCCTGGCTGCCTGGGGATTTCCTTAGCCAGCACCTGGCACAGGGCCTGCCACATACGAGATGCTCAATAAGCATGTGCTGAAAAATGAATGAGTGAATACACATCCTCTATTTGCTTTCACCGATCTTGTCCCAACTATGGCCATGTATGGATGTACTTTCTATTTATTGCCCACCTTCTCCCGTGGGGCCGTAAGCTCTACTGGAAGGGTCGATGGCTGTTAGGTTCACCAACACACACTTAACATCTAGCACAACGCCCGGCACATTGGAGGCCTTCCACACACAGTAGTTCAATATTAGCTGAATGAAGTAATGGAAGGGAGAGAGTGAGGGAGAGAAAGGTAGGGAGGGAAAGAATGAGGTGAGGGACAGAGGAAGGAAAAAACCCCCAGCTACAGCAAAAAGTAACATGCTCCTATGTGGCATTTTCCTAAATATGAAATGTGTCCCCCAGATACCTACAAAGTAATTTGAGATCTTTTTGACATTTTCATATGATGAATTATGTTCATTAGTTATGGCAAGTGATACTGACTTTCCATTTATGATAGGGATATAATTTTTTTTGTAACCTTCATATAACTAGTAAATATTGGGATACGACTAAAAGAACAAGAAAAGTAAAGCATGGTAGAGAGGGTACTTGGATGTGGCGAATTTTGCGGCTGTGGAATGCCAACTACTGAACTTCTGAGCAGATTCTGACGGATGAAAGAAGCCAGCACTGACATCCCGGTTCCCGGGCTGTCGCCACAGCCCTGCCTCAGCCCAGGGGAAGGAAACTGGCCTGCTTAGCATCCCCGTGCCTCAGCTTCCACGGCTTTCCCAGGGCGATAGGTAATCACTTATTTGCCTCAGTACAAGTGTCTTAGGTTGTAGAAATGGCTGCCCTGAGCAAGCACTAAGCATTTTCACATGCGAGGGATTATCTGTAGGGGCGGGGACTGTCCCTCTGTTACGTGTCTGAATCCAGCGTGGCTGCATAGAGCTTGAGTGGACACTTCTTTTCTGACCAGCTCCTCAGCCACAGTAATGCCATTGTGGACACAGGTGCACAGGGTCCTTCCACCCTCCCTCCCTCCCTCCCTCCCTCCCCCATCACAGGCCACGGTGGCAGGTATGGAAGGAGGGTTCACCCAAAGCCTAAGCAGCTGGGGTGATCCCAGAGCAATTTGAGTTGGTTTCGCTCCATTGAAACACTCCCTGGAGGACACCGAGGGGCACAGAGCCCCCCACCCCCAGGAAACACACACACACACACACACACACACACACACACACACACACTGTCCTTTTCCCACAAGCAGAGCAATTCGTCCAGGGCCATTCTCTCAGCAGCAGCTTCTGGAACAGGGCCTGGCCTCGCAGTGGTGGCAGCCCTCAACACCTTCCTCTCGGGGGGAGCAGAGGTGGGACCCAGAGAGGCAGGGAGAGGAAGGGAGAAAGGGGGAATGGGCAGGGAGGGAGGAGAGAGGGGCAGAGTGAGAAGAAATAGAGATGGTGGGAAGGCCAGGGGAGCAGGAACATGGGTGCAGGGCGAGGACTCACAGCTTTCAGGATGCTGACGGCCTCCTTACTGAGCCAGACGGGGTAGAGCACGTCGTCGTGGAGGATGGACTCAAACAGGTCGTCCTCGTTGTCGGCCTCGAAGGGGGGCTGCCCAGCCATCATCTCATACATCAGCACCCCCAGCGCCCACCAGTCCACAGAGGGGCCGTACTCCAACTCCTGCAGGATCTGACCAGGAGACAGGCGGCATCAGAGCCCAGCAGAGATGCCCGCCTGCAGCCACGCCTGTGCCACAAGCGCCCCTGGGCAGAGCTGAACCCCCATTTCCAGCTTGCCCCTCCACAGAGCAGAGCCCCAGGTCACTCTACATCAACAAATTCAGTGACAATTGAGTTTGGGAGGCACTCTGTTGGGAGTCAACCATCAACTCTCCAAGGTTAATTCCTCTAGTCCAGCGGTTCTCAACCTGTGGGTCTTGACCCCTTTGGGGGTCAAACGACCCTTTCACAGGGGTCGCCTAAGACCATCGGAAAACACATATATAATTACATATTGTTTTTGTGATTAATCACTATGCTTTAATTATGTTCAATTTGTAACAATGAAATTGGGGGTCACCACAACATGAGGAACTGTATTAAAGGGTCGCAGCATTAGGAAGGTTGAGAACCACTGCTCTAGTCTGTCCTCCAGGGGGGACACTTCTCTGGTTCTTTGTTTGAGCCCAAGATGAAGTTTCTGACTTGTGTTTATAGTCAAGTTTTTAAAAAACTATGTTTTTGACATTAAGATCAGGGTCAGAGGAGCAAGACGCAGACTAAGAGGGACACACGCAAGCTGTAAGTGGCTGCATGTAGAGAGTCCAGGTCTCCGGCCTCACACTCGTCCAAGGCATGGCTCACGGAGTGAAAGGTGAGCAGAACCTTAGTCTCCTTTAACCGGCCACAATGTTGAATTTACCTGAGCCCCGTGCTCTTGGAAAAGAAACTAGAGTCAATCTCCCGACTCTTCTGTGTTCTAATCATAAAGGACCACTTTGCTCTTGCATATTCCAAAGAAAGACCCATCTCCAGTGTCCTCATGACTCCCATCCACAACACGTGCTGATGAACCCCTCATTTGCCTGCCTCTAGAAAGCCCCAGGCCCCCTTCTTTTTATTTGAGGTGCCCCACAAAGCAAAGGCCATATCTAATCATTGCAGCTTGCAGGACACCTCAGACAGGTGACTGCTGATAGCTTGTCCCAGGACATAACTCCAGCTCAATCCTCAGATTTCAAGACAGCCAGGGAAGAGGAGGCTGAACCCCAGGATATGGGCTTTCTCCAAACCCCCTTCTAGAGATTATAGGTAGTTTAGGATTAAGTAAGAAGGCCTGTATTTTGAAAGTAGTAAAATCAAGTTCTAGGAGTCTTTTTAATTTAAATGAAAATGAATATAAGCAAATACAGCCAACTCTAAATGATTTGGGGCGGGTAATGTGTTTGGTGAGTACCTTTGGTATCTTAGCCCAGGGGTTAGCATGTGGTATCTGTTAGAGATCAGAGTTACAGGCTCCACTGGCCTGAGGAGCCAGTAATGCTGTTCTGTTCCAAAGCCAAAGCCAAAGCACAAACCAGTGCCTTCCCCAACCTTGAAAAATACAGCAGCCCAACCTGTCTCACTACAGGATCACCAGTTTCTGTCCTTCAAGAAATCTTTGAGTCTCACCATCATCTCCTCCAGAAATATTTCTCCGGTCTCCCTTTTTCTCCTGCCCTAAGGCCCTTACTGTCCCTAAGATTTGCAGGCATCTCCCACATACTACCATGATTTTAGTTATTTTTTCATGGTCAACTGTCTCCCTAGGGCAGAGGTCCTCAAACTTTAAACAGGGGGCCAGTTCACTGTCCCTCAGACATTCCACACATGAGCACTGCGGGCCCGGGACAAGTTGGCTGCTAAGCAGGACAGGCAGCGGCGGCAAAAACACCCGGCGGGCCGGATAAATGTTTTCGGCGGGCCGCATGTAGCCTGCGGCCCGTAGTTTGAGGACCCCTGCCCTAGGGCATCTATAAGTAAGCAGGTGGTATGGGCTCTAGAATTCTTTTGAGACCAGCCCAGTTCCAACACTCAGGAGACTGGCTGTCACATGTGCCCACTGTGTGTGACTTACTGGGCACTCCTTTATTTCCTTGGCTCAGGGGACTCTGAGTGCTAAGGAGGCCACCCTCCAGCCTCCAGGAGGTGGCTCAACTGAGCTCTAAGCCTCAGCAGGGTGATGGGGAAGTGGCCTCCAGGTGGCCTGTGTATGCTCAGATAGGATGGCGCTGTGGGAACCACAAAGTGGCCCTGCCCACCCTTCCCCAAGCCTCTTCCAGAACCTTCCCATTTGGGTGGCATCTTTTATAAAATTCCTTTTAGGCTTGGCCCTAATTATCTGCGATGAAGCTGGTGAGAAGGGCAAGGCTTTGCACGCCATGGGAGGGCACCCAGTGCGGCAGCCAACCCCTGGAGTGGGTCAAAGCTGGGGTAGAAGAGAAGGAGAGGCATTGGGTCTGATGACATCAAGCATTACCCAGGGCTGGCCGCCATCCCTGGGGAGTGGGGGCTGGGCGTGGAGAAGGAAGAGGGGGTGTGATGGGGGTTAGCCAAGGGCACATGGTAGGAAGAGAAGCCCTGGGGCAGAGCTAGTGCCTCAGAAGGTGTCTCTGGTTTCAGGTTAGCCTGGCACCTCCCAACTCCTCCTCTCTGAATAGAGGCTTACGATTTCTGAAGCATATTCATGCTCCATGCTTTAATCTCATTAGATTCTCAAATTGGCTTGATGAGTGAGTAGGGCAGGAATTGTTATTCCCATTTGAAAGGTGAAGAACCCGAGGGTCAAAACATTCTGTGACTTGATCAAGGTCACATGAGCGCATTAGTGGTCAAATCTGGCCTGGGATCTCAACTCTCAGGTCTATGCTTTGCCCACCTGAGTGCACAACCCAGCAGCAGAGACAATGGAACCCCATTTATTAGCCAGTGCCTGTGGTGCTAAGGGCTTTAGAGGTCTACTTCCACAGAACCTTCCCCACAGCCCTTGCTGAAGGAAGCAGTATCTTTATCAGCTGTAACTTGACCACAGAAGACCAGGGACTATTAGCCATTTCACATGTAGTGGTGATTCTGCAGAGTGGGCGCAAGTGTAGATGGGAAGGAAGAGTGTCTGGGCCTCTTAAGTCAGAGTTGTTCATTGTGAGTCTCGCCAATGGAGTGTCTTCCACGAAAGTTGTGTGGGTGTTTTGTTCATCAGAAAGTGAATGGTTGTCTTGGGCTGGGTCCTTAACACTACACTAGGCTGTCAACCCTTTGACTCTGGCATCAACTCAGAGGGACTGGAACCAAGCATTCTGATGATAAAGGATGAATGAGGAAGATACTGAAGAGCGGGTCCCAGTTGAGAGCCGTGGCTCTCACTGATTTCTCCTTGAAGGTTAAATTCCTACTATTCCTGCTAAGGGAACACACTAGCAGAGACTGACTGAAATCTCTACTCTTCCAATCTCTTAAAAGGCAAACATTTTAATGAGAACTTACCTATTACTTGATCCTCACTTCCCAGACTCTCCCCAGGCCGTCTCTCAACTGTCCTTCCCTCTCACTCTGCCCTCTGATCCACAAGGCTGATGCCCATCTACTTCCTGGGACAGGTCTGATTATGACCCTTCCACACTGGGAAGCCCTTAATGGGTCCACAGGTCCCACAGGATAAAGACCATCTTCCTTAGTCCTTTATGCTAATCTCATTCATGGCTAAGAGCACTAAGAAATCCTGTTCTAGTTACACTGTTTTCCTTTCTTTAAAAAGGCCAAGAATGTTCTTATCCCTTCGTCTTTGCTCATGTTGGAGTGTCCCAAGTTCTCATTCATATATTCACTCAACAAACCATTACTAAGAGCCAGATTTGTGGGCTGAATCCAGGAAGTACCCAGATTAGAAACAAAGCTCCTACCCTAAAGGATTCATAGCCCAGGGATGCTGAACCTCCTCCCCTGCCCACCCCACTCAATCCTCCCTATTGTTTTCAGGAATGTTCCCCACCCCCACCACCAAAGGAAATCCTGCTAATTCTTTACAACTCAAATCATTCACCAGGTGCTCCAGAAAGCCCGCCCTGATCCCTGAGGATACCATCTTGTGTTTCTTGTACCTACTGATTCTACTTAATTAGTTGTTTACTTACCTGTCACTCCCTCTAGACCAAAAGTTCTTTTAGAAGAGTGACCATTGTCTATTATTTCTTCCCACACTGCTTTGTGCCTAGCAGGTGCTCAAACAATGCCCACTGAAAGGAAAGGGAATCTAAGTGTTCTAACACACCTATCCACCATGGGCAATGCTTAATGGGGATTGATGCTTTCTTACCATCTTCCATGTGTCACAACCCTCAAGACCATTTTTATTAAGTATGTATGATAGGCTATGTCTTAAATCTGAATCATATCGCACTAGGTCAGTGGTTCTCAACCTTCCGGCCCTTTAAATACAGTTCCTCATGTTGTGACCCAACCATAAAATTATTTTCGTTACTACTTCATAACTGCAATGTTGCTACTGTTATGAATCATAATGGAAATATCTGATATGCAGGATGGTCTTAGGCAACCCCTGTGAAAGGGTCGTTTGACCGCCAAAGGGGTCGCGACCCACAGGTTGAGAACCGCTGCACTAGGTATTGCTCAGTTGGGCATGCTTGATCTGGAGAAACTCAAGGCAAACAAACACTTTATGATGAATAAGACATCTAAACAACTTTCACAAAAGGCATCCCATTGGTGAGGCTCGACATGAACATCTCTGATCTCCATTATAATGAGGCAGTTAATCCCTTCTTTTTCCTCCTCCTTCCCCACCCCCCCCCCCTCTTCTTCCTTGATCCTGTCTGCTCCCTATGCAGAATCACCACTACACTAGAAATGGCAAATTACTCCTGGTTTTCCTGTAGGCAAATTATAGCTGATTAAGTTCATTGCCGCCTTTATCAATGGTGCTCCTTTATTCTGGTTAGAAGTAAAAACAATGATACAAGTCAACAAATTTCTCTTGGTCCTAGCTCCACTGGTAGTTCTGGACTGGAATAAAAGAGAAATATTTAGGAGGACCTGCCCAGAGTTGAAGAATGATCTGTTACTTTCTGCTCCACCATTCTCTCCCCCATCACCACCACTTCCTTAAGGAAAAATCAGCAAGCCTATCTCCTTCTTCCCTGGAATCCATCCTGGTTTTCCAGAGCCTTCGCCCAGCACCACCAGGTGACCCAGTCCATGGGGGTGAGCCCTGGCTCAGCTGTGGCAGCGGGAGGAGGTGGCCCTTGCACAGGGTCTTACCTCGGGAGCGATGTAGTCAGGCGTCCCACAGAACGTGGTCGTCGTCACACCGTTCAGAATCCCTTCCTTGCACATCCCAAAGTCGGCCAGCTTGCAGTGACCTTCTGCATCCAGAAGGATGTTGTCCAGTTTCAAATCCCTGCAAGATGGACCAGAACCACACGGTTAATGCTGCACTCATCCCAATGCAGTCTTCTTGAGTTGGAGAGAGGTACACATCTCAGGGAAACCTGCTACAGAAAGGAATGTCTTGAGGAGGAGGCTTGACCTGCCAGCAATCAAACTCAGTCCCCATCTCCCGCCCATGATGACCAACCCCCAAAGCCGCCTCCATACTCCCCAACATGATGGAGGAGCTTCTGCAACCCGAGGACTGCTGCGCTGTAATACAGTTATTACCTATTAACTAGCTATTAACAGTATGTGCTGAAATTCATATTATTTAGACCTTGATATGCCCCTGCCTTTGTAAGTTAACCATGCAGATCACCTAAAAGAACAAGACTGACACATGTGAACATCAATGAGTCAGATAAAACCACAGAAGAATCAGGTGCTACTTTATGGAGCACCAACTATGTGAGCTGTGAGCTGTTGCATTTCAGCGGGGGTGGGGGGGGGCGAGGGGGAGGGCAGGGACAGCTGGTGCAGGCAGGAGGGCTTCCAGGAAACAGTGACTCTCAAGAGGAGCTTGGATAGATGGGGAGGTTTTGAAAGAGAAAAGGTGAGAGGGTGGGGAAGGTCAACACAGCAGATGCAAAAGGTAGTGAAGAGACCAGTGAACTGGGTCCCAGTGAATGGTGAAGCAAGACAGGCATGTTCAAACCACCCACGAAGAGCCTCCAGTGCCAGGAAGAGGGGTTGGACGCTCACGCTGAGGGCAATGGGAGCCCTGCCTGCATGTGCACCAGGTACCTGCAAGATCAGTCTTTCAGGAGCAAGCAAGCTGAGTGGGGGGAGGGTCTGGGCAGGACGGAAGACACACTGGTTGCAACAACCAGGACCTCCAGAGCCCCGGTGGTTCTGTGCATGAGAGAGGACCCTGGTGGCAGCTGGATCAACTGGTGCGGCTGCCACGTGGCTTGTGCGACAGTTTGGGGATCTGTGTAAGATCTTATATAAAATCTGGGGTTCTGGGTAAGAATTCCCTACCAAGCAAGTCTGCAAACCCCAGACCTGTCCCACAGAAGGACCTAGACTCTTGAATTGAGGTCCCCCCCACCCTGGGACTTCCTCAGGAGCTACTTTGGGGTAGGGACTGGGGTGGGGGGCGTCTTACAAAGAAGGCCCAGTGTCGTGCACACAGACCAAGAGGGGCCTTTCTCCCAAGCCTGTTGGCATCTGGACTTGAACTCCTCCCCCACCAGGAATCCAGGCCCGAGTGCAAAGATGGAGCAGGAAGCATTGGGGCCTGCCTGCCTTGTACCCGTGGCCCCATTTCCACTTACAGCTGGGACTTCTTGAGAAAAGAGAACTAAAATATGCTACTCTAAGCAGATGCTCATGCACTGCAGAAAGAACAGTGAGCCCAACCAGCCCAGTCCCTGAGGTTGGGGTCCCCAACCCCCCTGGCCACTGTGTGTGGTCAAGGCTTAGCTTTGGCTGGGGGTGGAGAGCAGTGACATGAATACCAGCGTGGCTCCGGTATTCTGGGTTTTAATCACTGTTGTGGCCTGTACCTGGCAAAGTCACCTTGATGCTCTGTTACCTTATCTGTCAAGTCGGACCAGAAACATTCCTGCTCCTAGGCTTGCCCCTGTATGTGAAAAGTAGCAGGTCTTCAATACTGTTATTCCCACTTCCTTCATGAGGAAACTGAGCGAGAGGGAACCAGGTGTCCTGTCTGCCCGCCTGCAAATGCTGGAGTCCTTGAGAGGTGGACATAGGCCCAGTTACTACCCTTTCACTCTCTCTAATCTAGAGTTGCCTTTCCAAGACCCAAGCGCAGGCATAATGACCATCATGGCAACACCCATCGTAATAGTAACAATAATAACATGTGGGAAGCACCGTGGTCTACAAACTACACTGAGCAACACTGAGAGTTAGAAAGAGCACATTCAGTTATTACTATGGCAGAAACGAGTGAATAGAAGCCAGAAGAAGGTAAGTGTTTTCTGTAAGGTGACAGGTCCCCAGCTCCGGAAGCTGCTCTCGCCTCTGTGTGCCACACTTCTTTCAATGCCAGTCACCAGCCCCAGCTCTAACTTTTTTTTTAATCCTCACCTGAATATATGCTTAGAGAGAGAGAGAGAGATGAGACACATCGATTGGTTGCCTTCCATACACGCCTGACTGGGGATTGAACCCACAACCCAGGTATGTGTCCTGACTGGGGAATAGAACCAGCAACCTTCCACTGCAGGGTTTCTAAACCTTGTCACATTGGATTGACATTTGGGGCTGGATAATTCTTTGTTTTGGGGGCTTTTCTGTGCACTGCAGGATGCTAAGTAGTATCCCTGACTTCTATGCATGAAATGCTATTAGCAAAAATATAAATAAATAAATGCTCTCAGCCTCCCCCCTTCCCCCGCAGTTGTGGGCAGTTCCAACTCAAATGTCCCCTGCAGGGCCTCTGGTGGACAACTACTGTTCTAATCTAAGGCCCCAAGATGGTCTGGTCCAGGTCATGAAGCCAAACAGGAATCTGGGAGCAATGCTCTGGTTTTCAGGAAAAAGTGGCTGTGCCTGGAGTGTCCCTTGCCATTTTATCCCCAGGAGACAGCAATCCAGCCCCTGCCATCCCTGCGAACATCTGAAATGTAGAAGGAAACTCGGGCTCAGGAAAGGTAAGTCACGAGGTTGCCTGGCTGGTAAGAGACAGAGTTGGGCTGCGTCCATAGGACTGTCCGTGAGCACCTTTCAGATCAGATGTACCAGTAAACGCCATGAGTTGGAAATCTCTAACTGCTGATTGGACCTAAATTCCTTTGGGCTGGGAAAGGAAGGCTCCGTAGTGAGAAGGGAACACAGAGACCGGGAGGTCACAGTCGCTGACAGGGAAGAATTGATTTAGAAGCCGCATGGTATAACCAAAGCTCCCTTGGGATAGGAGCACAGATCTCTCCCAGAAACTCAAAAGATAGCAAGAGAGGAAATTCCCAAAATAATGTACCTTTAAAATTTTTTCTATAAAACCTGAAGGGGGAATAAAAAGACCTAGCAGTTAGTTTTATGAAGGGGAAAAAAATAGCTTATCTTCTAAGACCGACCGTGCTCCTTTATTAGGGTGGGAACGGGAAAGAGATCTGCGAGGAAAGCAAAGGACCCGAAAATGAGTTTCTATGAGGTGGGGGAAAATGTTCTCATACCGAGGGAGCAGTGATAGGTCAAAGTATACTTTTCCTTTTAACAAAAGTATACTTTCAATGTGATAAAACATCAACTGTTGATATCTCTAGAAATATGGATAATTTCACTTCTAGGACTTGCCCCCCTCATAGTTATCTGTGCATCTCACTCTGAGTCTGGCTTATGTATAAGCAGTTGTTAGTGTCTACATGTCATCATCTCAAATGCTGGGCGGCTCCTCCAACTTCTCTCTTCCTGATGTTCAGGTCAGAAGTGAAGGAGTTCTGACGCTGAATCATAACTCTGCTATTTACTAGCTGGAGGATGTTGGGTTGGTCCAAACTATCTTTGGGACTCATTCTCCTTATCTATAAAATGGGGATAATCTTGCCATCACTGAATGAATAACAGAGGCGAAGGCTCTAGCACAGTGCCTGGTACATGGCAGTTACCTCAGAAATTCCGCCCTCTCCAGCAATCTTCAACAGGCATTTCTGAAAATACACATCCCTTGTGGGGCAAGTCACTAGATCCCTAGCAACTTTTTATTTTTTGAAAAATACTTATTACCTTCTATTGTGTATAAGACACCGAGATAGACACTGTGGGATGAAAATAAAAATAGAAAGCTTAAATTTTATCACATGGGAGAAAGGCATAAATGATATTTAAAAGAGAGAGAGAGAAAGAGAGAGAGAGAGAGAGAGAGAGAGAGAGAGAGAGAGAGAGACTGAAACTTTTAGTCTAGCCCAGTGAGAACATCAGGGATTCTGTCCTCTGGGCCTAGGGAATGACACTACATGGGTACACCAAGTGCCCAAGGGAGAAAGCATAGCAGGGGAGGTGGGAGTAGGGGTTGCACAGGTGTTACTAATCAGGGTTAACTGACAGCTTCCAGATCCTGGCAAACTTCTCAGGACCTGGGATGGCCATGCTGCGAGCCCGGGCCTTTCTGCAGAGCCATGGGAGCTGCTGTGGTTGCAGCTTTAATTTGTCCCTCTGCGCTTGGATCACCATGCACTATCACTCGCTTATCTCCTTGACCACCCACCACAGTCCTGGCAGGGGTATCACCATCCACACTTTATAGACACACGGCTCACAGAGGTGAACAAGGGACCTGAACTTTACAAGTTGGGTGGAGTCCTGTTTTCTTAATACAGCACCTCAGTGGTCTCATCTGAAAATTCATCCTTTCCCATTTATAAAATTTCACTTTCCCAACTTGACAGCAGATTCCCTAAGAATAAGGGCCAGAAAACTCTTCTCTGTAAACCACATAGCATTTAGCAAAGGGTTGGCACACATGACAGCCTTCATACATAAGAAAACATTGGGGGGGGGGGGAGTGTTTTGCTTGATTTGAAAACTCGCCCTAAAGGGAGGGGGAGTGTTTTGCTTGATTTGAAAACTCGCCCTAAAGGGAGGGACCCATGTTTTGCTTGATTTGAAAACTCGCCCTAAAGGGAGGGACCCATAAGTGTCTGTCTTCACTCCAGTGTTTGATGTTCTTGCTCCCTCGCATGCTCAGCCTCAGCGCTCAGGCCTGAGTGCCACATTAACGACGGCAAATTCTTCCATTTACTTAAAGATGAAAGATTAGAAGTATTACTTTGCAGATGCCAAGTATCTGGATCACCAGAGAACAGGCCCTCGGGAGGTTATGAAGAAACCCTGCTTGTTTTTGGACAAACAGTGGAGAATTGTGAATGACTGTGGTTAATCAGATGGGAAGACAGGCTCTTGGCTGATAGATGTTACCAAACACCTTCAGAATTTTAACAACATATTCAAGAGGAAGAAAATTACCCCCTTCAATATAGTCAGATGCCCCTCAACCTTGTG